AGGTTGGAGTGGTTGGGGGGAGTGTGGCACAAACTAAGGAGTGGCGTGAACTAAGGAGTGCTGAAGGGAACAGTCCTTGTGGAAGGCAGGGAGGGATGGGGAGTGGAAGCTGTTCCAGGTGGTGGGGTCTAATTGGAGTTGGTGATGCTATTTAAAAACCTACAGTAGACTTTCACAATTTTACACATTACAGCAGGGCAAACAAAAGTCATCTAAACCTGCACATTAAATTTAATACTTCATAGGATCTGAAACAAAAACAAATTGCTGGAGAAACTTTCTTCTCGCAGATGCTGCTAGACCTACTGAGTTTCTCCAGCAATTTCTGTTTTTGTTTCAGATCTTCAGCATCTGCAGTTTTGTTTTAGATGGGGTCTTTTGTTTAACAAAGCTTCAGCCTAGTTAATGGAGAATTTTTGTACCATAGGGCTTGCCTGTGCACAATTAGCAGAAACATACCATTTACAAAAAGTTAATTCAATCCTCTGATTAAATTGAAAGACTACATATCTTACATTTAGGAGTACATTCACTTTAAAATTAAAAATGTACTTCTCCATAATATTGATACTGATAAAACATTGTAGCATATTATTTTAATAATAATCTTCTGTGGAAAAAAGTGCGTAGCTTGGAGGAGAGTAATTGGCTAGCATTATGCTGAATGAGCTTCAGTAATTCAGATGGCATTCGTCAGCCAAAGTATGCGTCAATTGCCTACATAATGAACTAAAAATACATCTCAGTGCTGGTCTTCTTTCTCCAGAAAGGTCAGTCACTTTGCATAAAGCAGAATTTGAAATACAGTACCAAGCTCATTCCTTATGACTGTCTCAAGATTAATATCCATACTCTAAGAAACACCTACTTAAAAACTAAAAAATTACATTTAATCAATCTAAAGTAAAAAACTTAAAACCCCAAAACCAAACAGTACAGAAGATTGCCAAAAATAAAGCACTTACACCTTCCAAAACTGGTTTAAGATAATGTTTGTTTCAACTCTATATCCCACAAGAAAAATGACAACTTGTGACTAGTTTGAAAATTACAAAATGAAGAGGATTCAAATTCTTAGAGATAGTAGGAACTGCGATGCTGGAGAATCTGAG